CCGGGATCGGGGGTTTGAGTCTGAGCCTCTGAAAGCAACTCTGGCTACTGACGCGGTGATTGGAGCCATGGCCAGCCCCCACACCCCTGGCAGTGGGTGAGGGTCCTCCCCCCCCAGGCTCATGACTGCACCATCCCCCCCTGCCATCCTCTGTGCTGGCAGCTCCTTGGCTCTGCTGTGCCCTGGCACCCCGTGCCCTGCCCCACTGCCTCTCCCTCCTGCTGCCCACCAAGCCTTGCCAGGGTGGCTCAGGGGTTGGGGCTGGGCAAGGGGCTGCCCCCATCCCTGCCACATGGCTCCCCTGCGTGGTCCCCACTGCCCCTTTGCTGTTTGGACACGTCTGTGCCCAGGTCAGATCCAGACCTGGCCAGTGGGTGCTCCCTGTAACTGATTTCACATCCTACAAGCTGGCGTGGTCCCATCTATGGGGGCCATGGCACCATCCTCGCCATGCCCATGCAGGGGACAGACCTGTCCCCTTGGCCAGCAGCTAACCTGGGGTCCTACTGCCGCAGGTATGTGCTGCTGCACCACGTGATGGGCGAGCTGGAGGGTCAGCGGGGGGCCTGGGGCTACGTGGCTGGCGGGATGGGGGCCCTGTCCCAAGCCATCGCCCATGCAGCAGTTGCCCAGGGAGCCCACATTTTTGCTGAGAAGGTACAGGGTGTCTGGGCAGGGGGGGCTGCCTGGCTGGCCTGCAGGCAGCAGGGATGCTCTTGGTGAGGTCCTGTCCCCTCTGCCCGCCCAGGCGGTGTGCCACGTGCTTCTGGGCAGGGATGGACGGGCGCAGGGTGTCGTGCTGCAGGACGGAACCGAGGTGAAGAGCAAACTGGTGCTGTCTAATGCCTCCCCCCAAATCACCTTCCTGGAGCTCACCCCCCAGGTACGGGGCACAGGGGGCTGGCAGGGGCTTGGCGTGGTTGTGTCCCCTGGCCAGGCTGCTCCCCTCCCCGCTGGGCTCTGCCCTGGCTTCTCCCACCCCAGGAGCAGCTGCCAAAGGATTTTGTCCAGCGGATCCAGCAGGTCGACACACGCCCCCCCCCCCCCCAG